GCTTTTTTTCTTTCCCTCCTTTCATTCTCTCCTTTTCTTCTTTCCCTTCCCTCTCTTTCTTTCCCTCCTTCTTTCCTTCTCTTTCTTTTTCTCTTTCCTTCCTTCTTTCCTTCTCTTTCTTTCCCTCTTTCCTTCCTTCTTTTCTTCTCTCTACTCTATTCAATTCAAAACCTTTATTGGCATCGATCAGAATCATAAACAGTCACCCTTCAATTCATGGGTTTAACACACAGCTTCCTCATTATGATTCAGTTACAGAACTTAGCCACCGCTTCAATAACCTCTATATTTTGTGAAGCCAGTATCAGTATCAGTATTCAGTTTATTCGGTATATCACCAGCCCAATTACAAACAATACAAAAGGGTACCAATAATATATATAAAATATTTAAATATAAAACCAGTAAACGGTACAACATTCTGTCATCAGATTGCTTGACATCCTTCTTAAGAATAGCTTCTAAATAAAGTGCCCGAATGTCATCATGCAAACTACAATAGAGGAATACATGTTCGATTGTTTCAATCTCCTCTGAATCACAATCACAATACCTAACAGAGTCTTCTCTCTACTCTCTCTCTCTTTCCTTCCCTCTTTCCTCCTTCTGCGGCCCAACTCTAGTGAGAAGGGGTTTAAACTTTAAACCCCTTCTCTCTTCGCTCCCCCCCCCCCGCTGGGGAAGGGAAGGGGAGGCTTTTGAACATGCCTTCCCCCGCACTTCCGGTGATGTCAGGGGGCGTTGCATATGCTAATGAGCTATTATGCTAATAGCCTAGTATCTCATTAGCATACCATATGTTAATGAGCTTCTGAAGCTCTTTTTCTAGGAAAAGACCCCTGGTATCCTCCATAATTCCTGGTTAAGGGGGAAATGCTGTTCAAAAAAAATTACGAAGATGATCTGACTCCAATGGTAACAAGAGAAAGAAATTTTACTTACAAAAATAGAAGCACAACTTATATGACATATTCACAGGGGTCATTTCCTGCTGGAGCGCCCCAGAGCAGCGCTCCGGCAGTAACGACCCCAGGCCCCACCTCTCTCCCAAGGGGGGAGAATTAAATGCCTGGCTTCCCAGCCTGATCTTCTCCAGGTGCCCCAAAGCCGGTGGGTTGGCAGGGGAGGGGAAGGGGAGGCGGTCAGACATGCCCTCCTTTCCCCCTGAAGAAGAGAGAAGGGGTTTATATTTTAAACCCATTCTCTCTAGAGTCGCGCCGCAGGGGTGGCACGATCTTTCCATTGTATTTCCACAGGGTAATTCTTATCCTTGGGGAGGATAAACCCCTTCTCACTTTGCTTCCCCCCACCCAGCCCGTCTTGGCAGGCCGGCTGGGGAAGCAAAAAAGGGGGGGAGGCATATTCAAAAGCCTCCTCTTCTCTTTCCCAGCCGGCCTGCCAAGGCGTTTATCCTCCCCAAGGATAAGAATTACCCTGTGGAAAAATTTCAAATAATATTTTTAACATTATTTGTGCGTGGTGCTTCCAAAATGACCCCGGGCACAGTCAGGGAAGCTTCAGTCTCATTTTATTTTTTCCGGGCTGAAAAATAAATAAGTTTTTAAAAAATGCAAAATAAAACTGCAAAATAAACATTGCAAAATCCAAAAGAGAGACAGTCAGAGGTCCGTCCCCCACAACTCCTGAAGATGAAGAAGCCAGTATTTGAGGAAGAGGACTCAGGTTCCCCTTTTAAACACAAGAGAGGACTCGGCTTCCGCCTTTTAAATGACACCCCAGCTGTGAGCGGTGAGCCTGCCTGCAGCAGTGGAAGAGGACTCAGCTTGGTGGCAATGACTTCACTGAGCCAGCCCAGGTCACATAATGGCAGGTCACATGGCTGGGCTGGTGCAGGCGCAGTGAGGCCACCACCGCCAAGCCGAGTCCTCTTCCTCTGCTGTGGGCAGGCTCACCAGTTGCCACTCTCTCTCTCTCTCTTTCCCCTGGCTCCCCTACCCCACAGGATTTCCCAACGCCCCACCACCCAAAATTTTCTGGCTACACCCCTGGCTAACTTACCTCCCTCCTGTTTCTGAGGCCGGCTAGGGAGAATTGCCAGGGGAGAGGAAGGACAGTGGAAGGTAGCAAGACGCAGACAGAGGGGCGAGAACATCACGTAATTGTTGATTTTTAAAACAACTGAGAAAGCCCCAGTGATTTGGGGGAAGGTCCATGGCACTAATGGGGGACTAGGGCAGGCAAACTGTGAGGAAACGTGCCATGTGGAGGCACCATTGCCACTGTGCTGTATCAGCAGCTGCACCAGTTAACGAGGAAACCACACATGCCTGTTCCCACGTGGAAACTACCAGTATGCCTGGAATTCCCCTCGTGGTCTTGTCTATTGTTACACCTCCAGTATTGATTTCCCCTTTTTGTCTGGCAAATGAAACTTCTTCCTGAAGACTGTGGGAACTAGAGCTATCCCTATCCTTAGGCTAAATTCAAATCTGGATTTTTATCTTTTAGTGTTTTGTTTCCCAAATAAAATATGTCACAAAACCATACAAGAACAATCCAACTGAGAATCCATAATGTGTGTAACTGCTTAGAAGAGTGATGGGCTGTCAAATTAACAATAAGGTTAAGGTGTTTTTAGCCTACAACTCTGAGAGAATTCTTCCCTCTGACTGTAATGGAGGCCTGTCACATGCAAGCACAGCGATCTCTTACATGGTTTCTATGAGTGTCACAGTGTTCGTTTTTCCTAATACAGCCTTCTCCCCCAAAGCATCTCTTTCACTCTGTCACCCCCCCCAAAAAAAAACACCCTAATCCATCCTCTTTTTTTTTACTTACATCCTGACAGTCACATTTGTGTAGAGGAGCAAATTATGGTAGGCAATGCTGTACAAACATTTGTAGTCTGGTAAGTTGTACTGGCTGAGAAGTTCCCTTACAACTCCTAGTCCCTATCCCCTACTTCCGACACAGCTGAGTGAAGCAAACTACTGCCAGAGTGGAGATAAGGTAGCCCTCTACACACGACCCCTCTGCACACTTAGTCAATACATGGACAGGAATTCGGTCGAATCTGGATTTGTCTTTCCCACCGGTGTCCTAGCCTTCTGACTCCATTGTCAAAAAAGCTGTCTACATTTGGTTTCGTCTTCACATCTCAAGAGTGCTAGCATACTTTTGCACGTCCACCTATGTTTATCGCCCTTTCGTGGTGGCTCCACTGTCGTTGCACCCCCGCACTGCTTTAAAAGAATCTTCTCCAAACAACGTTCAAACAAGCATAGAGAAAGACGGCGTCACAGCAGCACGAAACTGATTTAGAAATGCAAATGCAGATTCAACTGAAGAGAAGACATGCGTGCATTGGCCAGACTCTGCTCATGATCTCTGGCTTATCGTGAGCACAGTGCCTCCATGTGGAGGAAGTGTGCATACATATGCTAATGATCAGGAAACATTCAAAAGGCAGCATCCCTAATTACAGGGATGGAGCATGGATGTGGAGGGGTCATGTAGAGAGGGCTGGTGAGTTCTGCTCCTCACTTCCATGTGCCTGGGGTGCACGTCAGAGGAATGTATCTACTGTTTCACGACTTCTTGGGACAGCAAGGTAGTCCATATTCCTTCACCCTGTTCATTCCGGAAGGGAGGGCACAGCTCCACAAGTTTTAGATACTTTCTTTTACCTTCGGGAATTCAACAATGTCTTGCAGTCTACAGGTCTCACCTGGAGGCTGGCATCACTAGCTTGTGAGAGAGAAATCCCTGATCTTCATTAAGGCTTAGATGAGTAGACTCATATCCACTGAAAACAGTATACAGTGAAACCTGAAGATTCCCCTGGTATCTATAAGGACAAGCATGGAGATGTATAAAATCCTCGGGGCGGGCCGAGTGGTGATCTACAAGAACAGCTGCAGCCCACTGATGGAGAAAGTGCTGGATTTTTATGTCGCAGAGGGGATTGTTGAAATAATTCCCTGGCCAATTGATTTATACCTCAATGTTTCTTCTTACTTTCATCACTCAATGGATCCCAAGGACACTGGCCACTATGGACAAATCACAGCCTTAAATGACTGCATCTATCGCAACATGTACAGGAGCAAATATGTGCTGCTGAATGATTTAGATGAAATTATTCTGCCCATTAAATATCCAGACTGGAAAATCATGATGCAGAACCTTGGGCCAATATCCAATGGTTGCTGTTTTCTTCTTTGAGAGCCATCTTTCCCCTAAACATGTATTCACTCCTGATGACCCATTCAACATTTCCTCTTGGAGAAAGATACTTGGCACCAACGTACTGCAACATGTCTTCAGGGAGCATGACAAGAATCCAGTTGAGAACCCTCGGAAGATAATTGATCCAAGGAAAGTTGTCCAGCAATCTGTACATAAAGCTCTCCAAGCATACAGAAGCAATGTTTTTACTCCAATGAATGTTGGCTTTTTGTTTCATTGCCGGGCTACTAAGCAACCACAGCTTCCAAGAGAATCCCTCATTAGGGACATAAGTCTCTGGAGATATAATGTGTCTTTTGTTGGGAATGTCAGCAAAGAGCTCCATCAAACAGTACTGTAAGGTAGGGGATATAGCCGAGAGAGATCTCACTGATGGGCATGAGCATTTAGTGAAGTGGTGCTGTAGAAATAAGAACAGTGGAAGGAGGGGGCCATTCACTGAGAGTGTTCCACTGACAGTGTTCCCCCTTCCCTTGTTCTAACCAATGAGGCAAGTAATCGCTATGACTGAAAGAAAGTTTGTTCCATCTCCCTTGTTCTAGCCAATGAGAAAACTTATGGCTGTGATGAACCTGGCCAAGTGCAGCAATTGGTAGCTCCATTTGTATTTTCTCAACTGACATCCGGTCATATCTGCTAAATCTATGGGGTTTAGACTTGAGTAATTGTGCATAGAATTGCAGTGTCAAGCTTTTAACTGACCTCTAAAAGAAATAATTTTAAGGGAAGTATTGCAGGCCTTGTAAATTTTCTTTAAAAAAATTTTTTTAAATTAATTTTCCAAAAAGAAAAAATAAAAGCGAGAGAGTTACAGTGTCATAGTATCTAATCAACATTCTCATACATAACAAAGCTAACTAATATTTTACCATATAAAGCATTTCCATCTTAGCAACAATATATATTAAAAGCTTTATTAGTTGTTGTAGATTTTCAAGGTTGTGTGGCCGTGGTCTTGGCATTGTAGAACCTGACGTTTCGCCAATGTCAGGTTCCACAGCCAAACAAAGGAGTACACGCTTATCATAAGGTTATATTTTATTGTAAGAGCTATAGAGGCATTAACATCGTCACTGTTAGGAATGGCTACTTTCCTACAAACATAATGGGATATAGGGTATTTGTATGCACACATCCCACTCCTAGGCCAATCGGCCTGACTCCAATCAGCCTGTGACTGGCATCCTCAGAGGTATAACACAGAAAGATGGAGTACTCTCTGTGGCTGCTTTTTTTTTCCCCTAGCAGTACTACTATTTATAATCTAAAATCAGGTTAAGCTTATATATTTCTGCTATATGTAATCAAAAGATCCTGCTAACCATCTTCATACTTGACAACCGAGGATGCCTGGGGTTGCTATGCAGAGGAAGGCAATGGCAAACCACTTCTGTGTGCCTCTTCCCTAGAATACCCTGTGGGGGTCACCATGAGTCAGTTGTGACTTGATTGCATGTTCTTCTTCTTCTTTTTAAATATAAAGTGATAGGTTTTTGGATCTTAGAAAGTTGTATGACCTTCATTCCAGAGAGTTCACTATGTTGCAACAGAGAATGTCGTAATGCCCTTCAAGAATAACTGGTCTATCGTGTTTGTACAAGTTTAACACTCATAATTTGTATTGTCTTTGTTTCAAAAATACAAAGAAAGAAAGGAACTCTAAACCCCCAATATAATTTATAGATGTGGCTAAGTCGCACGTTAATGTGGGGCATATTTTGTAGTTCTGGAAATGTCTACAATGCTTTCAGCATGACGAACAACTGTGTAAGGGTAATCTTTTTTAAACATGAAAAATTATTATATAAATATCAATCATGCTGTAATGCAACACAACGATAAAGTGCACATTTTTAGAGTCCAACAAGAAAACATTTTTCTCAGTCCTTGTAAACTGTAGATGACAATTCCAGTAATCAAAAGATGGAAGCCCCTTAGTGCCAAATTAACGTGAGTAACTGAGAGCTGTGCCAAAATGAATCTTGTCAGTAGCTTAGTTTCTGCTAGGTCCAAAACTCAGAGTGCATTCCTGATTTGCAGGGGTTGTGAATTTTTTACAGACTAGTGCAAATTAATTTTACAGACAGTTGACAGTTAATATGAACAAAATTCCATTTATGAAGCATTGGATTAGGCCTGATAATTATACTTTTTGATGTCAGAAATCATAAATGTGACTTGAGCACAATAATGTTGATTATGAGATCCTGCTTACCCATACCACTGTGGTGGGTCTCTGCACCCTCTGAAGGTTTCCAAGCTTTTCTTCAGTCTTTCTTAAACCCGCTTTGCTGTGATGTTTTGGATAAGATTGCTGTAAAGCCGGTGTAACAGGCCGGATTAACCCCCCGGCCAGAGTAACCCCGGGGTTATTCTGGCCTAGCCTAGAATAACCCCGGAGGGGTTATTCTGGCCTAGGCTAGAGTAACCCCGGGTTAATCTGGCCGGCTGTAACAGGCCAGATTCACCCCCCCGGCCAGAGTAACCCCGGGGTTATTCTGGCCTAGCCTAGAATAACCCCGGAGGGGTTATTCTGGCCTAGGCTAGAGTAACCCCGGGTTAATCTGGCCGGCTGTAACAGGCCAGATTCACCCCCCCGGCCAGAGTAACCCCGGGGTTATTCTGGCCTAGCCTAGAATAACCCCGGAGGGGTTATTCTGGCCTAGGCTAGAGTAACCCCGGGTTAATCTGGCCGGCTGTAACAGGCCAGATTCACCCCCCCGGCCAGAGTAACCCCGGGGTTATTCTGGCCTAGCCTAGAATAACCCCGGAGGGGTTATTCTGGCCTAGGCTAGAGTAACCCCGGGTTAATCTGGCCGGCTGTAACAGGCCAGATTCACCCCCCCGGCCAGAGTAACCCCGGGGTTATTCTGGCCTAGCCTAGAATAACCCCGGAGGGGTTATTCTGGCCTAGGCTAGAGTAACCCCGGGTTAATCTGGCCGGCTGTAACAGGCCAGATTCACCCCCCCGGCCAGAGTAACCCCGGGGTTATTCTGGCCTAGCCTAGAATAACCCCGGAGGGGTTATTCTGGCCTAGGCTAGAGTAACCCCGGGTTAATCTGGCCGGCTGTAACAGGCCAGATTCACCCCCCCGGCCAGAGTAACCCCGGGGTTATTCTGGCCTAGCCTAGAATAACCCCGGAGGGGTTATTCTGGCCTAGGCTAGAGTAACCCCGGGTTAATCTGGCCGGCTGTAACAGGCCAGATTCACCCCCCCGGCCAGAGTAACCCCGGGGTTATTCTGGCCTAGCCTAGAATAACCCCGGAGGGGTTATTCTGGCCTAGGCTAGAGTAACCCCGGGTTAATCTGGCCGGCTGTAACAGGCCAGATTCACCCCCCCGGCCAGAGTAACCCCGGGGTTATTCTGGCCTAGCCTAGAATAACCCCGGAGGGGTTATTCTGGCCTAGGCTAGAGTAACCCCGGGTTAATCTGGCCGGCTGTAACAGGCCAGATTCACCCCCCCGGCCAGAGTAACCCCGGGGTTATTCTGGCCTAGCCTAGAATAACCCCGGAGGGGTTATTCTGGCCTAGGCTAGAGTAACCCCGGGTTAATCTGGCCGGCTGTAACAGGCCAGATTCACCCCCCCGGCCAGAGTAACCCCGGGGTTATTCTGGCCTAGCCTAGAATAACCCCGGAGGGGTTATTCTGGCCTAGGCTAGAGTAACCCCGGGTTAATCTGGCCGGCTGTAACAGGCCAGATTCACCCCCCCGGCCAGAGTAACCCCGGGGTTATTCTGGCCTAGCCTAGAATAACCCCGGAGGGGTTATTCTGGCCTAGGCTAGAGTAACCCCGGGTTAATCTGGCCGGCTGTAACAGGCCAGATTCACCCCCCCGGCCAGAGTAACCCCGGGGTTATTCTGGCCTAGCCTAGAATAACCCCGGAGGGGTTATTCTGGCCTAGGCTAGAGTAACCCCGGGTTAATCTGGCCGGCTGTAACAGGCCAGATTCACCCCCCCGGCCAGAGTAACCCCGGGGTTATTCTGGCCTAGCCTAGAATAACCCCGGAGGGGTTATTCTGGCCTAGGCTAGAGTAACCCCGGGTTAATCTGGCCGGCTGTAACAGGCCAGATTCACCCCCCCGGCCAGAGTAACCCCGGGGTTATTCTGGCCTAGCCTAGAATAACCCCGGAGGGGTTATTCTGGCCTAGGCTAGAGTAACCCCGGGTTAATCTGGCCGGCTGTAACAGGCCAGATTCACCCCCCCGGCCAGAGTAACCCCGGGGTTATTCTGGCCTAGCCTAGAATAACCCCGGAGGGGTTATTCTGGCCTAGGCTAGAGTAACCCCGGGTTAATCTGGCCGGCTGTAACAGGCCAGATTCACCCCCCCGGCCAGAGTAACCCCGGGGTTATTCTGGCCTAGCCTAGAATAACCCCGGAGGGGTTATTCTGGCCTAGGCTAGAGTAACCCCGGGTTAATCTGGCCGGCTGTAACAGGCCAGATTCACCCCCCCGGCCAGAGTAACCCCGGGGTTATTCTGGCCTAGCCTAGAATAACCCCGGAGGGGTTATTCTGGCCTAGGCTAGAGTAACCCCGGGTTAATCTGGCCGGCTGTAACAGGCCAGATTCACCCCCCCGGCCAGAGTAACCCCGGGGTTGCTCTGGCCGGGGGGTTAATCCAGCCTGTTACACCGGGTTGGCTTCTGTATGGGTAACAGCCACCCACGAGGCAGGCATTTTCCCTGCCTCGGTCCATGTGGTGGTCATTTGCCCCCCCCAGTCAGAATAACGAGACAGACAACAGTTTGGAAGTAAACAAGGGCCACTTTATTAACTATTTAACATAACATTGCAGCAAGGGACCAGCTAAGTGAGCACGGAACAGGCAAGGCAGGTGTCACTCCCCTGACCAACCTCCTTGCCCTCTTCTCAGGTGGGTCACTCAGCACCGGACTTGAGCCAGTGCTCTGGCTCGCAATTGGCAGCTCAGCAAAACTGGTTGCCACCTAGGAGCACCTACCCCTGGAGCCTTCCAACTTGCAGAGAGGAGTGTACCCTAAGAGGTTCCCAGAGGTGATCACCGTTCACCACCTTGGACCTTAGAAATCCGAAGGCAGTTCCTGATGACCCCCTGTTCCCAAAGGGGGGAAATGCCGTAAGGTCAGGGCTTTTTTTGTAGAAAAAGCCCAGCAGGAACTAATTAGCATAATAGGCCACACCCAGCAGCAGAAACGCATTAGCATATTAGGTCACACCCTGACAGCCCAGCTCATTAGCATATTAAGCCACACACCCATGCCTTCCCTTGGCAAGCCTGAGCAAGCCAGCCCTTGGACAGGCTGGGGAAGGCATGGGGAGGCATTTAAATGCCTTCCCAGTTCTTCCAGAGCCGCCC